TTCTTTCTCTTCCTGCCGAGGGGACATCGGTACCGAGCCGTTGTATAGAGCAGATAACGATTGCCCGTTCGACCGAAAGTCGGCACCTTTCATCCTCGCCCCTGAACGAGGCTCGCGCGGATCTATGTCGCCTCCGCGGCCAACTTGACGCGTATTAAACTCACTCCTCTTTTCATAGGAACTATTTTCATTATTTTTCGCTATATATGGGAAACAAGAAAAAAATTGAAAAACCACGCGAAGATGAAGATCGACAATCGTGATGCTTAAGCGGTACGCGACTGCATTCCGTGCGACTTTAATTGGATAAATTGGAGAGATTGCCATGGGAGGTCGGTGTCGAGATCGGATAGGGGCAAGAGGATGAATTTCTATTTTCTAATTCATATAATACTTACGATATTTTTAGTATTTGGAATTGATTTTTGATCGGTATAATCGTTTTGAAAATATATATTCTTATAGATATGTAATACGTATAAAAAAATATATATATATTTTTTTTATTATGTGAATACTATAAATAGAACAATAATTTTAGATTGAAATAAAATTTTGAAAAATGAATGAAACATCTTCTCGAAATTATGATAAATTTATTAATTTAACAATTAAATTATAAGAATTAAAAGACCATTGCATATATAAATTTATCGGTTGAAATTTTCTTACGATTTATAATTCTGAATTCTTATATCATTCATTTAATTATTATCAAAATTAAATTTCCAAAAATTAATGAAAAATTCGAATTGTCATTCCAAAAAAATATCTATTCACTCGTATAATTCAATCATCAATATTAAGTACCAGACTTGATATAAAAATTCTGATTGTCGAAAGAAATTTTAACACAAACATTGCATCAAGTTTATTTCGATGTAAAAACATTTTACCAACCTGGTCTGTGTCTTCGAAGAGGGATATGTTGTTGACGGAAAAATGTTTGTGGATGTAATTGCAATTGCAATTCCATTGGCATTGCCATGATCGAGTTCATCTTTAATCGATGCACCACACTGATTGTATCAATTTTATATCACTTGATCGCATCAAAACACGAAAATTCGTAGAAAAATCTATCCGTCCGAAGTACTCAGCGTTAACGCTTAGTGACGACTAAACATGCATTTCGGAATTGCACTCTGTTACAACGATCCATCACTGCATTCAATGGTTATCCCTCCTATTGGTTGACGCTTTCTCCCCACTATATTAGCGCCGCGCCCACGCTGATCCCATTGGTCGATGCAATTCCAACTTGGTTACAAGTAGCTGCGAAATATATCTATACATCGAAACACCCACGATGCATTCGTGCTAATGAAAGCAATAAAAAATCATAGAAAATATTGATGAATTAAAATGAGCACCGAGTAAAAATAAAAACTATGACGCAAAAATCAAATTCTTATAAAAGTAATCATATAAAAATTGTTTCGAATTGAAGATAAAATTTTAAAATAAAAAAAATGTATAATACTTAACTTAATATTATTTCTGCATAAATCTTGAGTACACAAAATAAATATTTCTTTAAGTCTTTTCTCTACTATATATCATTTAAAATAAATCCCTTTTTTTAAAAAAATGATCCTTTCCTTAAAATTAATGAAAATTTAATGGAAATTTCTTCCATTAAATTTTCCGAATTACAACAATTATTATTACAACTATTATTATACGATCAATATTATACGAATCAGTAGCAAATTTAATACGAAATTACCTTCCTTCTTAACTAAAAATATCTGAAAAAAGAAATTTTCCCTTTCCTACAATTAATAAAATTAAATTCCTCGACCGATCCAGTCCCACTCGAAAATTTTTCAACGAAGAAAATCACGCGAGGAGAAAATCACATGACATCCACGAAGCCGCGTCGTCGGATCACGGTTAACACGCTTGAATTCGCGCGCTCGAAATCGGCGCATTTGAGACGTTCGCGCGCATGCCGTCCTGGCACACGATCGCATTAAGAAACGATGCACGCCGGGTCGTTAGGTACAAGGGAACGGAGGAATCGTCACCATAAATTACGGAATCCGGGCGAGCAGACGGCCGTTAATAGTTTGTTCTCGAGTCTTGGAGACGAGACGAGGCGAGAAGATAAAATCAAGAATCCGTCCGCGGTGCGTCGGCGGTCAAAGAGGAACGGAACGAAACGGAGCGCCGCGAGATACAAATCTATGCTTTTCTCGCTCCCTTATGCGCCGTTTTTCTCGTACACCACCGCTCTCCCGCTTGTCGTCGCTTCGCCTTTTTTTTTTTTTTTTTTCTTTTTTTTCTTTTCTCCCTCCCACCGTAGAAAACGTATTCCTCGCCGCCTACGACGCCGGTCATCGCACCATTGTAGTGGGTTCCAGATTGTGGATTAACTGTAAGCGATACCCACAACAAAGCGCGCGCACTTTTACCTGACAGCTTCGGCTACCTGTAGTCCTGCTACTTTATGGCAGTATTGTAATACCTCTCGATCGTGTCAATCGTTTCGAGAATTACCGGGGTTGAAGAATATTCGATGTCAAATCCCTGAGAACGATCGGTGAATATGAATGAACGACGTGTAGTTGATACATCTTGTATTTCTTGGTGAATCAAAATTGGAACGTATTAACGATATTACGATGACATGCGATTTTATGACGTTTGTGTTTCGGATTTGTGGAACGCAGGATTGCTGATTGATCTTGTTATTTTGTTATCAATTCCTTTCGTTCGTTCGAATCTGGAAAAATACGCAAGAGATTAATTTAATTTTTTAAATAGGAAAATTTTTAAGTGATAGAACTTACGAGCAGATTGATAAGTAGTGAATATTTCAGATAAAAAGGTGGTCAAAACTTTGTTTACTTGTATATAGTATTTGAAAAGCTGGAAAATATTTCTGGTAAAAAGATGCAGCTGTTTTCGAAAAGGGAAAGAATTTCGTTCTGCAGTTTATCTCAATCTACAGTTTATCTAATAACGAAATGTTTTCTTGCAAACCGACATGTGCATACAAATTTCTTTATTTTGTTCCTTTCGTGAAAAATGAAAAAATTTTCGAAAAATAATGATAATTAAATTAATATTAGAATCTATCTGTATATTTTCCATCAAAGATAAAAAATTTTTTTATAACTGAAGATTAATTTTTTTAAAATTTATTATTTTCTTAAAACAAAAAAAATATCTTATAAAATATCTTAAATAAAAAATATTAAAATATGAAATTAAATATTATGATAATTTAATTATATATAATCTAATGAAATTAATATATATAAGTGTTCCATAAAATTAATTTACCTTTAGAACTGTTTTATATCTGAACAATTGAATAAACGATAATATTACTTATCATTACGAAAAATACTATAATCTTTTTTCAGTAATAAAAGCTCACGCCTGCTGGCAGATCAGTTTCAAGTTTTGTCAGTAGGGAGTCTCTTGGAATTTTTCCTTTTCAAATTTAACTATATATTTTCTCCTCGACAATTGGACAGCTCAAAAACTATTCTTCGTTTAATCCTTTTGATCCTAAGTATTTAATGAGGTGTCAATCATTAGATATACTGATAATTCACTTAAAAAATGTATATAACATTAAAAATTAACCATCGATTCAAATCGGAAATCGATTGCTCTCTTAAATAATCGATAAATTAAATTCTCATAAGTTTTTAATCATATTGAATTAATATTGTGAACTAATCTTTTAATTAGAATATTTAACTTTTTGTAACTTATCAATATTTTTGATATAAATTTTTATGTGAATTTATAGAAACGTATGTAATTTGGATATCGTTTAAATGTAGAAACTTTCGACGAAGAAAAGAAAAGAGATATTTAAGAGGGAAAGTGAGTAAGGAGAAGCCGACAAATAGGTTTTACGGCTCACTTCCTGTCCGTCGCACGCGACAGTTATGCGCCCCATAATAAGACGGTGGTTACTTTCCGAGACGGCTTGAATTACGAGCGAAGGAGTAAAATCATAATTTACGTTCCACTGATCCTATGATATGTTTCTCTGTTTTAATTCATTTGCAATATTAGCAAAAAAATAAATTATATTTTTCAAAGAACAACATACATGTTTTTATTAAAAGATAAAGTTATTGTATTTCAAAATTAAATTTTAAATTTATATATGAATTTAAAATTTAATTTAACTTTTAATTTTAATCAAATTGAATTTAAACTCATAATTTTTTTTAAAGATAAATAGATTTGTATCAAATTAATTATTTTATAAAAAAAAAATAAAATAAAAATGACATAAAAAATTTTTCATTAAATTTCAAAAAATAAGCTTTTTTTAATTTAACGTTTTTACACTTAATTCAATTTAATATATTACAACAATAAATTATAAATAAGAATTTAAAGAAATAATTTTAACATAATATCTTAACTTTTAGCATTATGATTGAAATTATTTTCTTAACATCGACAAAATTTGAAAGATTCAACATCGTACTGAAATATTTTCCGTATAAGATTTCCGAGTACAGAAACTTTTCGAAGAAGAGATAAACAGAAGCAAGGATAGACTTTCTATCTTATGGCGTTAAAGGACAAAAACGGGAAGCTTCATTTTTAGAGTGGCCACTTTAATGTGAATGTTTATGAGCTCATACAGAAGTTTTGTACAATCATTCGACAAAACTATTTATTTATTTATTTGTTATTACTAAATTCTTAATCAATGATGAGTATCGCGAACCTACTTCAACGATAGAAAAATTAAACTAAACAATCTCTCAAATGTTATATTTTTTAAATATATTATGAATTTACTATGATATTTTTCATAATATGAAATAAAAGTATGCTATGTAGATCTCTATATAACATATGTTTCGCAAAAATCTCTAAATCAATTTCATATTGCCACATATGAAATAAATTGCTAGATAAGCTACTAGATTGTTAGTAGAAATGGTTAGAAGTATTGTTATTTCAGGACATTTGAGAATAAACATGTTTGAAACACGAAAATTTGAAAAACGAAACATCTGAGATTCTTTACCTAAAACCACAGCAACTGATAAGTTTTTTCATGTTCCCACATATTTTTAACTAGCTTCTATAATAGTTTTTTCGATAAAATAAAGAATTTTAATACCGCTTCTTCTGAAAAATAAAAAAAAAATTAAAGAAAACTATAACATATTTAAATTTTAAAATTATTATAAATTAAATCCTTAAATTATTATAAATTAAAATAAAAAACATTCATTTAATAAGCGAATATTACAAATATAATTTAAATATAATTTTACACATAATTATATATAATATGTGAAGTCATATAAAAACGCGAAAAATAAGCCGAATAAAATAATGTGTCATTATGCAAAGAAAGTTAATTTCTGAACGATTATAATATATGTATAAAGAAAAAAATATATAAAATGATATTTTTAAATGGATTTTCATGTGCGAGCTGATACAGATTTGAACGCTTGTATTCTTATGCTTTCAGCACAATTCTTCGCATGTCTTTTTTATATTAAAACAATTACATTTGTCAGATCAATATTATCTTTTATCGATATATATATTTAAAAAACTTATTAAATTAAAAGAAATTAAATAAAAAGAGAAATAAAGAAATTTGAAATTTATAATTATTTAAATACTTTATGATTAATATTAAACAGATATAAAAGTATAAGATATAAAATAAAATGGAAGTGCTAATAAAAAACAGTAAAATTTGTAATACTAGTTTTGTCTTTTTTCAGACTTTATTTGTATTTATACATTCTTTATTCATTTTATTTTAAAAGAGTTGTACACAAACTATCGATCGCCGTTTACAACATCCTATAATACTATATTGTAATATGATAAAGTATCTTGCAATTGACTGATTATCGTACATAAATGTATATACCTTGGATATCATTTCTTTTAACTCTTTCAGTGAGAATACCAAGTCCGAAATTTGATAAGCTTAACTTGCAATAATAACACAAATCAAAATTTCTTTTCAATTATGTTTATCTTACTTATTTTTTCTGCAAAAAGTAATAATGTTTTTATAAAAAGTTTTAAATATCACGCTTACCAACTATTCACTGAAAGAGTTCGCAAAAAATAATTAATTATAATAAATATAAAATGACCATTTTAAATTTCGGAGTGATTGAGATTCGATCAATTTCTTTAAATAATCACAGCATATTCACAATTTTACAAAATAATTTGATATAGCATATTAAAAATGGTCATTTATAACTGTACAGATTAAATTTTAATATGAATATCTCTTTTAACATTAAACAAATAAAAA